TGTGTTTCCGTTTACGTTGTGTGTTTTTTTCCTTTCCCCCCCCCCCCCCCCCCCCCTTCTTTCCCCAGTCTGAAAGTGGAGGAGCTTTTAAAGGGTTTAAAGGCTTTATATTGCCTTCTGGAAAAGGAGGAGGTGGCTTCAGCGGATTTGGTAATGGTGCAGGAATAAAGCCTTTAGAAGGGCTGTCTAATGGAAGCAGTAGTGTCTCTAGCACTCCTTCTTTCAGCAGTTTAAAGACCACCTCTGAAACACAATCAGCATTTGGTAAGTTTTAAATAAACATACATATTTATGAACAAATTCAGCCATAAAATCTGTAGGGTTATTTTAATAGTGAAAAAACAAATTCAGAAAACCTTCTAGTTCTGTTTTAAGGTTTTGAGACTTTATTCCTCTTTGTAAGATTTCTTAAAAAGGTTTTAGACTGCTGGAGGGACAACTTATCAAATGCATGCAGTTTTAAGAGGTGGAAACTAAATTCATATTTGATCTAATACTGGAGGTAGAAGCTTTATAGGCACAAATGGGAGTGGAAGACATTGGCATAAGACACTCTGAATAGTATAAAACAGCTGATAACATGTTCCAGTTAAATAATTGTCCCAATTCTCTGAATTTAATTAAAAAAAAAAAAAAAGGCAGCTAACAGAAACTGTCCGTTTAGTAGGACTGCAACTTCTTTGTGTGATTTTTTTTTTTCTTTTTTTAAGGTCTTGTTTCTGTATTTTTTGCAGTTTTTGGTAAATATATGCCACATAGCTACAGGCTTAACTTTTTTCCCTGTACATCTTATATCACAAACAGTCTTACTAGGATTTTATCTGTTACATTTATACCTGCATTTTAAGACACTTGAAATATTTTGGCAAGTTTAACTCTAGTCTTATGCTTTGGTAGTCCCTGAAGAATACCAGTTCTATCCCTTTGTGTTAGAGATGCAGAAATGTGAACCATGCCACAGTGTTTGAGTCGGCATGCCACAGAATAGAAATGGTGGAGTTTGAAGTTTAGAGTAACTTAGATTTCAGTGATCTTAACTAAATTAGGAGAAACGTAAATATTTAATGATGATTTTCTTAATTTGCTTATTATAGTTTTTATACAGAAACCACTCAAAAATGTGCAAATCATGGGCTAGTGCATGCAGAGTTTTTTAAAGCACAAGTAGCAAGAGATAACTGAATATCTTGTTTTAATAACTGTTATAGCTTGGTAAAGCTTGAATTAAGATTTTGGGGGTTTAGGTGAAATAAAAAACTTTCTAGTCTTTTAACGTTATTCTGTACAAGATTTCTTTAGACTTTTTTTATACAACTGTGTGGTCCATCTACTTTGCCTGTCCCTGAACTAACTAACTTTTCTAAATTTAGTGAGCTTAGCTCTCTGCTTACAGCATTGCCTGTTTACTTGTACCACACTATGGTTCACAGTGTTGTCATCCAAGAGAAGGTACATAACTGAGCAAGAATAAGTGATTTCATAAAGAAATATGGAGAACATTAGTTAGGCTTTTATGAGAACTCTGCTTTCTGGGAAGAAAAATGTTCTAAACCTTGTTTTTCTTCTAATAGGATCCACAATGTCAAATGGTCCCACTACTACTGCATTTACTGAGAAAAAGGCTGCAAGCCCAAAAGCTAATGGTGGCAGTCAACCGTCCTCATCTGGCTATGCTCAGAGTAAAGTTTGTAGCTCTAGTGTTTACCACAAACAGTTAGCAGCTTTAAACTGTTCTGTGCGTGACTGGATAGTTAAGCATGTAAACACAAACCCACTGTGTGACCTGACACCAATCTTCAGAGACTATGAGAAGTATTTAGCAAATATTGAACAGCAACATGGAAGCAGTAGTGATAGTGGCTCGGAAAACGAAAGCAACAAGACACCTGGCTCTCAGTCAGTTTCTACATTTGGGAATTCAAAGCTACAGCAAGGATCAACATTTTTGTTTAACAACAACAAAAGTGAGGATACCTCGGACAAAAAACCTGAAGCTGCATCAGAAAAAAAAGATCCATCTTTAGGAGCTACGTCAACTGTCTCATTTAATTTTGGCAAGAGTGTTGACAGTTCTGTTTTGGGTTCCCTTGGTTCAGGAACGCTTAGTAGTTTCTCATTTTCTCCTGGAAATTCAGGTTTGTTTGGAAAAGACGCAAACCAGGCTAAGTCTGTCACTGCAATATCCACCAATGTATTGGAAGCTCAGACAGAAAGTGGAAATAGCGATGATAAAGGTAAATTCTATTTTAAATTATTATTTTAATGGTAAGCTGTGAATGTTACTTAAGAATACTGCAAAGATGAAGTAATACTAAGTTGAACTAGATCATAATTGTGCTTGAATTTGAAAGTGCAAAACTGTACCACTTCCCTGGAAATACCTGGTTTGCCTACTGTTTTAAGTAACACTAAAAGTATATGCTTATCAAAACCAATGTATTTGTGTCAGATTTATACTTCCTGTAATAGAATATAATTCTCCAGCTGAATACAAGACTTGAAATGATGAAATTTAAAGCAACTGCTGTGTTCATCTTTGAGCCTGCAGGACATTTCAGTCCTGCTGCTTTTCCCAATGGGTTTATCAAGGGATGCAAAATGTGTAAGATACAGAACAATTTCATACATCTTGTGTAATAGACTGTAAGGCCAATAAAGTTACATACTACCTGACAGTTTTACTCTGCTATTTACTGAAGCTGAATACAGTAAGTTGTTAGAAATCCTAGCAGCTGAGGGACCAGAAAGGCATAATCCTGCCACTGTCTCTTGGCTGTCATTCCTGCCACTAATTCCCTTCCCCGAAATCAAACCTGGCTGCTGAAGTATTTATTATGCTTTACTTGTACCCATTTGTGGAGACTCTTCTTTGAATTGTTGTAACTTTTTTTTCCCCCTACAGAGGGTTTTGACTTCAAGTTAGACTTGTTAAGCTTTATATTTTGGGGGTTTGATTGTTTGGTGGGGGTTGGGTATTTTCATCCCATTTAAACTGAAGATGAGCATAAAGTTGCTTAAGGGGTGTGGATGAACAAAAAAAAAAAGTAAGACTTTTTTCTGTAGCTGAAGCTGCTTCAGAGCCCACATTGACTTAAACATGTATTGGCAATCGTTGACAGTCCACACATGTATATGTCAAATACAGCATGCATAAGCTAGTTCTAATACAATGCTAAAACTACCTTCCAGATTATATACTCATTACATATTAAAACTTTGTATTTAAAGGAGGGGAAGAGGAGGAGGAAGAGCCACCAAAAGTCATTGTTAATGAAATAAAAGAGGATGATGCTTTCTACTCAAAGAAGTAAGTGACTTTAACTTGGAATAGTGAATAGAATTATAACTTGGAGAATAATTCATACCTGCATATTGCTGCTGTTCATCACTGCAGTGCATAATTAATGATGTATATGTTCTTGGACTTCATAGTTAATACAGCTTGTTAGGAAGCCATATTGAATATGAAGTTCCACTCATAAAATACAGAACAAAAATGTGTAAGATCTTACTAAAATTCTTGTGTATCTTGGACACAACACTAACAGCTAGTTTGCATTCTACTTCCGATCAGTTTTTTACAAATGAAGATGATGTTTCTGTCTAGGGCTTGTAGCACAGAAATAATATACTGTACTTCTGAAAAATCAGTTAGGTGCTCAGCTATTTGCATAGTCTAAAATAAGACTCTTCGGTTGGAAAATGCTGATTATTGTATGAAGGAGTGAACAAGTTGTATTTTGAAGTTCAAAATGAGACTAGCTCTACTAGAAGCAGTTTTTCAAAGCATGTTCAGTAGTCCAAGTAATTGCATGTCTGCTCAACACTTGGCACAGAATTTGTCCTTCTGCAAAAAGTAATTTGCTTTATCTGAGAGAAGGTCCATGCTAATTTATGAAGAATGGCATTAGGTTTATTAGAGCTTTGCTTAAAAAATGTTTTTAAATTTTACATAAAAGTCCTATTATAACTTTAGAATGATACAGCAAGTTCTTATGGTTTTGTAATTAGTGTTTTTAAACAGTAGCTTACAGTTACTACTCCTTATAGACCCTGAGTACAGGTTACTGTGCATTTTACTTTTCCGTGAAAGAAGTGACATTTGTTATTTCAATACTGAAAGAAAGAATTAACTTTCTTGTTCTGAACTGGATGTACTATCTGTTAGCACATGAAACAAGGTAAAGAAGAAGAAAGATTTATGCTACTCACATCATGTTAACTCCTGATTATTGTTAAACTATTGGCTTACATATACATATATACCTCTGACTCACAGTGTGTTGATGTGTATTTGGGAGATATCTTTGATATCCTTGTTTTTTAATCTCTGCACAACTGCACAAACGAGGCTTTTTTTTGCACAGGTGCAAACTGTTCTACAAAAAGGATAATGAATTTAAAGAAAAAGGTGTAGGAACATTACACTTAAAACCCGCAGGAAATGAAAAAACTCAACTCCTGGTCCGAGCAGATACCAATTTAGGTAAGTAAATTTCTTCTAGTAGCAAGTCCTGATGTGAAATTCCCTGCTGAGCACTAGGATTTTTTTGTTACACAGCATAACAGACCCGATTAGTGAAAACCTTTCTACTGTTTTCAGTAAATTCAAGTATTGAACAAGCAATAGGATGCCTCTAATGAGCATTACAAAATAGTGCACATGAAGCAGTGCAAGGAAGTAAAAAAGTTGTGGTGTATGTTTGGGTATTCATTCCCCCTCACCCCTTTTTTTAATTTGAAGTGTGGCTTAAGATCCACAGTGAAGTATACATGTATCAGGTGTGATGAATGAAGAGGAACAAATTTTGTGCTAAAATGCAGGCCAGCTGCCATTTCTCTGCAATTCATCCTGAATATGTAAATAGTTGGCCATGTAGGCAGACATCCCTTGTACTTGGGGGTAAAGGGGATCATTCTATAGATCAGGCACGCAGGATTTTGCTGTATGCATTACTCTTAAAATGCATGCTGAAGTCCAGCTGTTGAATGGTGTTTTAGCTAACTTCAGTTGGATCACAAATGGTGGGTTGACTACAGAATTGGAGTAACCTGTAGTGTGATAGTTCCCTCGGAATATCTTGAGATGAACGTTAACACAGCTAATTAAAGAGAAAAAAACCTAACCATTTCTTTGCTTTTAAGAAATTAAGGGGAATTGATGTATTGAAGTTCTTAAGGTGTAACATTCTGGCTGAAGAGTGTTTACATGCTCAAACTGTGCAAATCAATGTTTCGATACTCATTGTTGAGAAACTTTGCTATGCTTCAGTACCCAATTTCAAGAAACTTGCATGTGGGGTTCACATGCACTTGACAACTTCCATAAAACAAGAGTAAATATTGTGCTTATAGAAGACCTGAGAACTAAAGCCATGCTGCACTGTAGGCTATTGGTAAATCTCACCTCACTTTCAGTTTATAGTGCACTCTAGTGAGTGTATATCAAGTCTCTGCAGGCCCATTAGGGGCAGTTTTCAAATACCCGGTGAGATTGCAACTCCTGTGTTAGTCACTTCTAAATCATCAACTTCTTTCAGTGGAGACAAGGTTTGCCAGATAAAGGGCAGTTCTTAGCAATAAAACTGAAGGCAGATGTATGGCAGAGTTGGCAGTGCTTTCAGCATTTCCTTGGGGATTTGAATGTGTTAAATAGAGTAGATGAAAACTTGATTTCTCCAAGTTACCTAGTCTTTAATACAAGTCTTGATTTTCACTCAGCTGATGCTAATTTTCATGATGTTGATTTACATTCCCTCTACCTTCATCTGAGGTGATGTATTAGGAAATCTTTCCTTTTTCTTCAGCTCATACACTAAGACATTTCGGCTTGGTGTTTCCAAGCATTGCTTTCTAGAAGCTGCTGCAGTCATAATGATGCACACTTTCCTTTTTGCTATCTTCACACAGTGCTATAATCCTTTCCTAAAATCTCACTGTGTTGAAAAACTGAACTGGAAAGGAAGGCGAAGACTGACTTTTCCCTAAATACTACTACCGTGTTCTGAACTATTTACCAGGTTTACAAAATGTGTGCATCTTCTGTGGAAGCAGATTTGAGTTTGTTTGCAACTGTTTTAATAGACCACTAATACTGAAGCTCTCAAACTCACTATGTAATTTAACAAGTTGACATAGAGCTGCTGTTAGTAACCTGGTGGTAGACCACATCAGATGTGTTGTATGATGTGAGGATACAAAGTACTTATTCTACCATAGTTTGTCCAATTTTAGATTAACATGTCTGTATGTGTGTTAAAGCTAACTTTTTGCTTCTGCTTATGAACTGTGCTTGATGGTCAGAATGAGTAACTTGCATAAGCATAAACTAAGCACTCTGATGGGATTCCTCATTTGCTGCTTCTCCCTTGTCCCCTTCCCTTTTTCCTGCGTGTCCCTACTATCATTTGATATTCTTCAGACTCCTCCCTTTAAAAAAGGAGGACACAGTCTTTCCAGAGATTTCCTCGTTCCTAATGAGGAAAGAAATCTGTGACAACAGTGGCCATGGGCAGATGCTTAGGGAAGAATAAGACAAGTATATATGACATTTGTGAATTGCCTTCCTTCTGAATACAAACTTAAATCCCTATTTAGTAAATATACTAACATCTGTATTGCAGTAAAAGCTGAAAAATTGCTAATTGTAATTTTTTTTTCCTCCTCGTACGCAGGAAACATACTGTTGAATGTTCTAATTCCACCTAAGATGCCATGTACAAGAACCGGAAAAAACAATGTTCTTATAGTTTGTGTTCCTAATCCACCGATTGATGAGAAGAATCCAGCTGTTCCTGTCACTATGTTAATAAGGGTGAAAACAAGTGAGGATGCAGATGAGTTGCACAAAATCTTACTGGAGAAAAAGGAGGCCTAAATAAGTTGCAGTCATTGATTTGAGGAATTATTGCCAAACTGCTGCTGCTCTTTTTTTCTTCCATAATTTCACTTGAACACTTAACTCTTTATTCTGATATTAAGAACTGTTACAGGAATTCTGGAAAAATTCTGTGAGGAAAAGCTAAACTAGCTAATAAAAGCTTTAATAGAACACAAGTCTTGGACTGTGCTCCCTCATTTTTCAGTATCTAAATGCAGGACCTCTTCTGGATAAAGCACATTGATTTAAATTAAAGCGTACGTTTTTAACACCGATTGAGTTGACCGAATGGACTGATATCAGTACAAAAATATGGTACCAGAGCTTCCTCACAGACTGCCGTGCAATGCAACAACCTCCTGTGTTGAGAAGGGAGGATGTTGAAGTTTAACTGTTGAAACTGTTTCTGGACTCCAGATTTTTAATTTTAATTGGTCTGTCATATTCTGGTGAGACTTAATTTTTCAAACTTGGTGACATCAGTGCACCCCAAGAACGACAGTGTGTATATTATACTGTGTTTTAATTCTTAACAGACTTGTGTGCTTTTGGGACTCGGAGACAGCATCTCCAGATATTTAAAAGAAAATTTGCTTGCGTAGTCTTGTTGACAGTAGTGTTTCTTAGAGAAGAACTGTCAGTTCTGTTCTTACTGTAGCAACAAGCTAATGATGTGCAATAGTACAAGCAGACAACTGGAAGACTGTTCATCTTGGACCACAACCACAGCTGGCGTTTGCTGACTTCTGACAAGTCAGAAGCAAAGGGTTGCAGTTGCACTTCCATTAACAGTCCCTCCGAGGTATTCTTCCCTAGTCCTTTGGGCTAAAACTGAAACCCAGCAGAGGCAGAGGTGTAAATGTTGTTGTACTCGTCTTGCTTCTAGTACTTTTCTGAAGATTCTCTTTTCACAAACAAATTTCAGGATTTTTATAGATCTTTATATTGCCTCTGGCCATTACCAGGAAATACATGCATAAATGTGTATCAGTAATTATTTTTCCCATGTGCTAAAACTACAGTGCTTTACTGCATTACATTAAGCAGTAGTTTGCAGCTTTAGGGACAAGCTTTCTGTTGCAAGTAGGGAGCACTGGGTTAACTTACAACTTAGTTTTCAGCTGTGTTAAAATGAACTGTGTGGCAATAATTTGTGGATCAGAACATCACCCTGTTCTCAGTTTCCATCTCAAATTTATCAAGACTGTGTTTGGTTATTTAATCCTTTTTCAAATCTTGTTTGCTGGAAACTCCTTCCCTAATAGTTGTTTTTCTGCTTCACTTTCAGCTCTGGGAACTACCCAAGAGCTAGATGTTAATATTAGACTTGAACTGCTCTTGGATCTGTCACACTGACCAGCTCCAGGCAGATGGAAGAAGCATGCCAACCTGCCTCTGGCTAATGCAACACAGAGGAAAAAATCCTATTCTTTAAAAATGCAGCATGATGCAGTTCTCACAGGGGGCCTGGAAATCCACAGTAGTGGCATCCTGTGGGTGGGGAAAAAGGAGTAGCACCATTTGATTAGATGCAGCACATCTTACCTGCTCCCCACTGCTTGCGGGGACGGGGCTGGGGAGGATGGGGGCAAATGCCTGCCTTTAGTCCTAAATCACTGTACAATCCAGGTTATGGCCTTTTTTTCCCCCTCTTAACTAAATGGAGGAAAAACTTTATAGGATTTATAGCCCTCTTGACCAAAGTTCAAAAACAAAGGCCTTCGCTTACATTTCAGCTACACTGAGGTCACAGGAATTGCATTTCTGACACTCAAGTGTAAAGGGAGCTCAGATTATATTTCAAATAATATTTGAAATATGAAGTGGTGCCTTTTTTTTTTCATTTGGCTCAGTACTTAAAAGTAAGTGACATTACTTTCCTCAAAATAATGTGCTTTTTTAAAAAAAGTCTTGCCAATACCTAAATTGGAGGCCAAAAGCTGAAGGCATGCATATTAATTGCATATGAATGAAAAGCAGAACATTGCCTGAAAAGTTTATTACAGGCTCAGGTTTTAACGTCCAAGGGCTCAGTTAATTTTGCATTTGTCTTCTGACTGTAGTGTCTTAAACACATCACCATGCAGAAAGATTTTGAGGCTGGAGTGCTGGGTGTGGTAAGCAATTTATTATGCATCCCACTTGAAGAGCAGCTCCATACAGATTTATCAGTGGTCTCAGGTTTCTGTTTGGTTTACTTCCGAAAGCTCATGGCTATGTAACTGTTTCTTCATCCACTGAAGTGCGGACCAACTAACTTGAACAAGTGAGACAAACTGAACATCCCGTGCATCCTTCTGATTTGCCTCTGAAGTGAGGCGGTCTTGGGGTTTTGCACACACGTATTTGGCCCAATTCTGAAGCTGGCAAACTGAATAATGGCTAGTGCATCTCTGTCATGTTTTCAAGGGTGGACATTCTGAGGGTGAGCACAGAGTGTATGGAAAAATAAGTAGAAGAACAATAAATTGGGTTGGAAAAATTAAACTTTACAATATCTATGGTAACAAGTAATACCTTCTATTAGCCGTGGTAAAGACTATTTGAGATGAGACACCTTAATTCTTTAGCAATGTACGTATTTATCAGTAAAGCTAGGAGAAGGTATATAATTTGAATCTTGTGTTAATTAGTATGTCAAATATATGCATAAACACAAGATTTTAAACATTTTACACTGGGAAAGTTGCCACTAAAAGAATAGGGAAGAATTTTACTGCAAATTAGAGATTTTAATCAATATCATTGATAGTGACCCTGCAATTATCTGGACCATGAAGCAGGAAAAGGAAGCTGTGTACTTTTCACTTGGTGTTCAGTTATAAAGCACAACCCTTCTCTAGTACTGTTATAAAAACAAATTTTTGATAAATGCTTCAGTTTCTAGTTAAGAAATAGTAAAGTACATAAATACTGTAAAAAGCCAGAGATTCTTACATAGAAATAAAGGCCTAAAATGAGTTAAAAGCAAAAGTTAGTGGAGAACATAGAAATCAATATACTAATGCCTTTGTTACAAAGTGGTACATGCTATTCAAGGAAGGAATTTTGATCAGAATTCCAACTTAGTGAGGCATTCCTGTATCTTGGTAGATACTTAATATGTTTTAGCAGCTGGATATCAGATACCTGATATTAAAGATGCAAGTTTCCTCCCTAATTTGAGTTAATGCTTTCACTTTTTCAGCTGTACATAGGTGTTGGAGTGTCTTAATGGATCATGCATTCTTCCTTCTGCTGTGATTTTGAAGTTTTGGCTGCGTAGAAATCTTTCCTTTCCCTCTCACCTCCCCAAAATAGAAAATCAAGATGTCTGCTGCTTTTAACTATCAGAATCATCTGTGAGGGAGATTATTACAGTTGGTTTGAATTTTATTTTGAAATATTAAATGGCTATATGCAGGGGGGTTTTTTTGTAATGTTCTTAAAATTATCTATTTGGGAGCACACCAGGTGTTCCTATAATCCCTTTTGGTTGATGGATGTGAAAACGTAAATGAAATTTACAGTTCAAATGAACATGTAGAACATAAACCAATTAGGAGGTACGCTTTACTGTTAAGAACTTCCATTCAGCTCCCTTTGCAGCACTGTAACATTTAAAATGTCCTTAAAAGACTTACTTTCTGATGCCTTAACTTATTTGCATTTGCTAAAATTTTGTAGCTGGTGCCTGTGTGCAGAAGTTAACTCACATTAAACAATTCAAAGTGGCATGAGCTAGCATAAATCCAATGAAAATGCTGAATGTGACAATTTGTTAATTGTTAATAGATTTCAAACTGCTCTGAATTTTTCAGTGGATACTTAAGTTTCACATAACTTGTCATGTAACAATGTTTTCATTAGTTCTAATACATTGAGGAAGTGTACAAAAATCCATGGAAAATGTGAATAAATGAATGGAAGATTAATTGTCTCGTGTGTATCCCTTTCACTTTGACTGTATAACACTGTATTAATAAAATGAACTTTACAATCAAGTTGCTTCCAGGTGAACTCCTGCCTAGAAAATCCTGCGCCCAGCCTTACTGCTGCTAAAAGAAGCAATGTCTTCCCCTGCCCCTTCCTCAGGCTGGCTTTCAAACCCGTCACATCGCTAAGAGCCAGTTCAGCAAAAATGCTTTCTTCTTCTTCAAGGTCAGTGAGCTGAACGAGCTCGGAGGCAGGAGCCAGGGCTGCCTTTGGCCAGAGAGAGAAAAACTAGTTCTTGCATGCTAAGAGAATGACTGTAGAGATCGACCTCTAAAAATCCTTCCACTTGCAATATTAAAAAGATTTAAGAGCAAAAGTAATCTGTGTTTGCCGGATGACATATGTAGAACATATTTCTAGATCTAGCCTAAAAGCGCTATCCTAAAGCCAGGCCACAAAGTGATTGTTCTCTTCAGTGGCTTGTGACAGTCTGGCAAATGGGGGGGGGAGCAGAGAATAAGATCAAGACAGACTTGTTATGACAAGTGTAGATCATCCTTCCAATGCACTGGGAACTGCTGAGACCACAAGCACCTGCCATCCAACTGTACTTTCTGCTGTTGGCCACTGCCATGCTGTTCAGCCCTACCTTAATTCTCTTTATAGGTCTGGAGCTATCCACTTTAGGTCCACAAATGGGAGCTACTTCTTGCATGAGGATACAACTATTGGTTAGCAAAGATTATCTAGACATCCCCCCAGTTACAATGATTGGGAAAACCAAGAGCTTATGTTGCAGTTTTAAGGATGCAGTTGCTATCAAGAGCACCACATTTCTACTTAAATTGCCCAGTACTTTTTCTTTAAAAAAAAAACCACAACAAAAACAAAAAACACACCCCAAAAAACAACTTCATGCACTTGGGATGTTGGCATTATTCCACATTTCTGGACATCCAGTTCCTTCTTAAAAAGACGGCCAACACCACTTACAGAGTCTCCTTAGTTTTCATCAGCCGTAAAGAAAAGAAAGCAAAGTAACAGTTCTTGAGAGCAGAAACAAGCTTATTATTCATTTCAGGCAGGGGCAATCTGGGACATCAAATGCTTAATGCTTTGCTAATCACCAAAGATTTTACCACTTGAACAACAGGAAGGGGCAAAAGTAACAGTGCAGAAGACAGCACATCCTCGACACCCAAACTAAGAAAATGCAACACTCCAAGAACAGTCTGCATTCATCAAAATCAGCCTCTTTCCTAACAGAGCAGACCAGTTATAGCAACCAAGTCATACAGAAGTCGGAACCGATTCATCTGAAACGCACATCAAGTATAAGCTAAAGGCTATGTACATGTCATCGGCCACAAACATAGCGAAGGTGAGAAGTAAACTTTAATCATGATCCAAACAATACATCGACAGACAGGTTACCTGCTGTAATCGATCTCCTGCTAAAGACAAAACCGAAAGCCAAATGAAGAGTAACAGCCAGCCAAGTAATTTTGACTAACGCAGCCTTACATATGACACGACATTTGAAGCTGTGAGTGAGTTCAGACTCAACGTTTGGTAAAGAGCTTTCTTTGGTAAAATGTTTGCTTTGTAGAAAGGTCATAAGACAGGTAAGACAACTAAAGTTTAGGTGGAGAAGAGCAACAAACGTCTTTGGATATTCTGTAGATGACAGCTGGATTACAAACCTCTGCACTACTGCACAAGTTACAGTATGTGACTGTCTGAGCACCCGTCACTGACCGACCTGCATGACATACAGGAGGAGCGGCACACAAAAACCAAAGGCTGCACAAGAGGAGTAAAGAGGTATAAAAAGAATTTACATTGTTTGAAGTAGTCATCGATATACGTATCCAAGTTTCTGTTATGGTAGTATGCTGCTCATTTTCCTAAGGCATCATACTCCTTCAGAAATTTTTATTTGCATCTGAGCATCCTGAATAAGCAGTACAATAAATATTCCTAATCATCAGTTTAGTGGGCATTACCATTAGGAACATCATAACCTTTACCACGAGGTAGTGCAGAAATGGATCATCTCTGGAAGTTTGCAGAGGCTTCAAAGATATAAATAGAATTTGCCTGCTCAGGCAGTACCTAAGTAAAAAGTCTGTGACCGTGGCTTACTACCTTATATCATAGATAACATAATACAGTACAAAATTTTTTGTCTGTTGGTCAATGCTAGTTTTGGAGCCCTACCTGAACTGGTGGGCTCTCGGGGCAGTCTTCTTACCCACAAACGGTAATGCTGTTGACTGCAGCTCCAGGGAAAACTTGCAGATGGTTTCTCCATAGTAAAAAGCAAATTCCTAACACTGAAGAGAAAACGGTAAATCATATACCAAATTTAATTACTTTGGCAGTTTACGGAAGAAGTGTTTCCCTACCTTTACAATGAAGTCAGAAATGACTACTGTGAACGATCACCTGTCCTGATATCCTTACATGCTGGGCAGGTCAACTGTGGAGGTACTTACCAGGAAGCACATAATTCAGAATTGTTGCTGTGAAGGAAGCTTGAAGATTAACTTCTTGCTTCTTGATGCTACATCTATCGCTCTCATTTTCAAAGCAAAACCTAGTCTGACACTTGCAGTGATGAGCAGGGACAGAAGAGTGGGTTCTGCCAACACCCTTGTCTTTCGGGAGCAAAGGAATGCCTCTAGACTTGGTGCAGGCTTAAGGCATTCTCTAAGTGACATAGGTTTTTGATGAAGACACTGGCTGCATCCGAATTAAAGGTTGAGTCTGAGACTTTGAAGAGTCCGTAGACTAGTGAACTGCTTTTGCTGGATTTCCCCAGCAATATTGCTCCATCAGCAAAAGCAGAACCACAAACAGCCTTTTGTCTCGGGGCGAGATGGGAGGCAGAAGAGCATGGGTTGAGTAATCACATATTGTGAAATACTAAGTTATGAATCACCAGAATCAACTGAACATTGGCCTAAATAGATAACAGGGAAAACATTAAAGCAGCTGGAACTAACACTTTGAGACAACGCTTTTTTTAGATGTAGGTGGTCTCCACTGGTCTGTGCAGGGTGACTTGGTCTTTTTGACAATAATCAGCCAGCTCCATTCATTTCAATAGGGTTTTAAAACTGTTTATTCCCATCTTCCCTTAACCAATTTCTCTGAAGTGAATTCAGGACCATGCAAGTTAACTACTTGCCTACTTATTCACAAATTTACATTACTATCTAAAGTCCATCCGTGTAACAGCAGCAGCATCTTCAGCATCATGCTCACACCTCCGCAGGCAGCAGCCGCCCCAGTCTGCTTCCCTTAATGGATGCCTCCTCGCCCCCTCCCATCCCTCACATTCATCCTACACTCCGACAAGGATGTTCTGCCAAAAGATCATTCTTTTTGGGTAGGTGCCATAGGGTATTCATCGCATGCAGGTACAATGACAGCTATGCGGCTGGCCAATTTTATCTTCTGCAGTGGAAGTGCGGTAGAAGTCCACACTCCTGACACATAACTAAATCCCATTTCTGCCCACAAGCACTTCCATCTTGTCTGAACAAGCAAATGGATCATCTGCCTTGGTTTTCATACCACCATCTCAGCCAACATTAACCCTACTGGAAAAAGCCAACTAGCTTGACTTGGGGAAGAGTGTTCTGGCTTAACAAATCATAAACAACTTATTTCCCATGATGAGATCACCAGATCCCATCCTTACCCCTGTGAGGAACCAAGCTGGGGACAGAATTTGAATTAACTCATATTTTCCTTGACATATTTTAGTATCTTTTCTTTAGTGAATAACATCTGCTCCTCCCAGATTCTCATCTACACTGTTAATGGAAAATTGGACCCACAGTCTTCCTGCATTTTACTCCTTTGCTTTCATAAAACTTTTAATTACAAGTTTCAGGAACAACATTTCTGACAGGAGTACACAAGTAACTACTTGTTGGCAAAGATGCGTATTTTTTCTCCAATCTCCAAAGTGTGATTTTACTTTGTAAAATCAGACCTTGATGATAAGCTTGTGTGCCAAGCAACATTACGGTATTTCTTGGGAGCGTCTCTCCAGCTGAGGACAGGCAAGACACATAACGCCACAGGACAAAAGGACATGAGTTAACGTGGCTCCCCAAAACAGGCACTCTATTGAACGAGATACACTGCCACACTGTTAAAACAATATTCTTCTTCTAGCACATGAAAGAAATTAATTCATTAAAGTTGTGAAAGGTTTTCAAAAATGTATGTGCCAGACTTCTATCCCCCCAGCATTTGGATTAAAAACTAAAACCAAACCAAGCACACCTTCTCCTGTCACTAACTTTTGAAAGACTAAACAGGGGAGGTTTATTACCATGATTTGTAAGCTTCTGCTGCTCTTTGCCTTTTGTACTGTTTTAAATAATGCTTTCTCCACCATGACCGCTTTCAAAAGCTTTCAATTTAAAGCATTCAAGGAAAATCACACTGTTTCTAAGCCATACTTTAGTATTTCCCAACCAGTGAAGATGCCTGTCCGGTTGCATGTGCACACACAGAACAACACTGCCAACAATCTGCTCAAATATCCATATAAAGAACTAAAACACCCTGCTCTCCTTCCTAAACTCTAGGTTTTAATTTCGCCCAACATACCACACATCTCCAAACAATCACGCTTAGCATAGATGTTGTTACACCACACCTGGGTTAGTAAACCAGTCCTGGTCTGGGATTCTTTGAAATGGAATCATCAGCATGTCAACTGGTATCTATAGTTGGTAACATTTGTTTGAAGAGTGTTTCATTTTAACTAATTTAGATAGAAAAATCCCCTGAAGAAGCCTACTGTGAAAGGTTAGTCACAAAAATCAGGTAGAGAGGGAGGATGCAGTGCCTTGCAAGTCTTTAAACCAAAAGAGATTCAATATCAGTGCACACAATTTAAGGCAGAGTAAGCAGTTTAGACCTAAAGGGCAATCTCATTTTTACAACATTGCAGAAACCCATATT